ACATATAAGCAGCAGCCTACAATAAGCCTGTTGAATAAGATGTATATAACTTGTGCAATGTGATTGTGAATTTCACCTGAGTCCTCTCTTTGGGGAACAGAAAGCCAAGTGTGCTGACGATGTATGTGCAAACAGAGCACTGGACAGAGGACTCCATCTGCGTTAGAGAGCAGGAAAACACAGCCAGTTGTATGGCAAGCCATTTAAACATTTAATTTAACGTGCTAATGTCTAATAATTTTCTAATTTTTAGATAATTGTATTGACTTAAGTAATATTTTACATCAACTAATCTACTCTTTTTAGTACTGGGTTTAAGCTATTCGTGATAAAGTGGCAAATAATACCAAATGGAGCTAGAAATATAGTGTTACATTGAAATATCATTGTTTCAGGCACTGCAAGCGAAAAATACAAGTCAGAATAGAGAGAAGTTTTACAACTATTCTTTGTTCTCCTGTAACAAATTTGTGCAACTATTATGTTTGTAAATTCAGATAATTTCAGTAATAATAACTACAATAATCCATTTTAATAATACAATTTTTTTGTTTAAATCTGTGCTTGGTTTTATGCATATAATAATCTATTAATATAAAATATATATATAATCTCATAAATCATGACACAGTGCTTTCTAGTACCTGAAGAATAAGCACTAGTGTCTAAAAAAAGCACGATAATAAATAAACTGTAGTACTTAATAGAAAGGATACTAGTATCTAAAAGTAAGTACTAGCATTAACGTGGTGACTTTCGAACACAAAGTGTGAAACTATAATTGTTTTTGTGCTAATCTAAATGTATGCATTGTTTAAAGTTGATTAAATGTGCTTTTGGTGACATGGTGGCTTAGTGGTTAGCACTGTCGCCTCACTGCAAGAAGGTTGCTGGTTCAAGTCCCAGCTGGGTCAGTTGGCAGGTCTATGTGGAGTTTGCAAGTTCTCACCATGTTAGTGTGAGTTTCCTCTGGTTGCTGCGGTAACCCCCACAGTTCAAAGACATGTGCTATAGGTGAATTGAAAAAACTGAATTGACCATAGTGTATGTGTGTAAATGAGTTTGTATGGATGTTTCCCAGTGCTGGGTTGTGGCTGGAAGGGCATCTGTTGTGTAAAACATATGCTGGATAAGTTGGTGGTTCATTCCGCTGTGTCGACCCCTGATGAATAAAGGGACTAAGCCGAAGGAAATGAATGAACGAATAAATGAGCTTCATGGATAAAAAACTTTAGGAGGACTATATGCAGCGGAAATCTGTAATCTGAGGGTTCAAACAAACCTACATGTTGAGAAAATTCTATGGATCAAAATCAATGCCAAAAGTATTGAAATAAAAAGCTTGTCAAATAATACCAACTGGAAAAATTATGTATGATGCATTGGAATTAACAAGTGATTGCATTTTAATGACATTACCAGGGTTTTTCCCGAAACGTAACATAGCTGTTTATTTAAGCTGTGAATATTTCAACTAAAAATATTTCACACACATTTCATACTTAAATTCAATACTTCATAATTCACCTTCCAGAATTCACTTCCAAAATATTCAGCTCTGTTTAAAAACATTATGTATATTATTCAAAAGGCAATTCAATGCATTATATTTTTCAGTTGGTGTTATTCGACAAGCTTTTTATTTTAATACTTTTGGCATTGATTTTGTTCCATACAATTCCTTTTAAAGTTTTCCAAATTAAGTTCTTTGGGGTGTAAATTACTAATTAAAATTTTTATTTAGATATGTTTATGGTAGAAAATTTACAAAATCTCTTTGTGGAACAGGATTTTTATTAATAATCAATTTATTTTTGGAATACATTTTTTTTTGTCTATAGACCATTTCAATGTGGTGATGTCATTGGCCCATGAACGTTTCCTGCTTGTTATTAAACTATTTCATAATGTAACAAGAGCCAAATCAATCATAACCTAATGTTAAACAACTATCACAACATTATTTATCAATATGTGGCTCTTTTTTGGGTTCTGGGAAGCTGTAGAACTTAAAACTGTAAAACAGGAAATACGTTGGGACGATTGTTTTAGTTTACATCTCTCAAAATGGTCAATACAATGACAAAAATATGCTAGTGCAGCATCAGTTTTGTGTTCAAGGGACATAAATGTTAAAACGGCTTGCCATATCAGTAACACAAACAAAACGGACAAAAACAACACATAAACTACTTCCTGTAAATGTTACCTGCATAGGTGGCATTGTTCCAGTCTTCGACATGTGATTAAGCAGAAGGTCTTTAATCTTGCCACTATCACGGCCACCACACAGTCCAAGATAAGTACAGATTTCAGAGGGATTCTACGGTGAGAGATTGATGAGAAATGCTCAGATTTAATAATGCATCAATAGTTGTATGTTAGCGTTCAATCCCATATGCAGTTACTGCAGCACTTAAACTAAACACTATTATATATATATATATATATATATATATATATATATATATATATATATATATATATATGTGTGTGTGTGTGTGTGTGTGTGTGTGTGTGTGTGTGTGTGTGTGTGTGTGTGTGTGTGTGTGTGTGTATATATATATATATATATATATATATATATGTGTGTGTGTGTGTGTGTGTGTGTGTGTGTGTGTGTGTGTGTGTGTGTGTATATATATATATATATATATATATGTGTGTGTGTGTGTGTGTGTGTGTGTGTGTGTGTGTGTGTGTGTGTGTGTGTGTGTGTGTGTGTGTGTGTGTGTATATATATATATATATATATATATATATATATATATATATATAATGCATGGTCTAGTTTAAATATATGTTTGCAAACTTTTTACCATGAAGTTGGTGATGAAGGTCATGGCCAGAGGAAGAAGCTTGTCCACTTGATTGTGGCAGATTGGAGCAAATTTGGGAGGCAAACTATCACACGCTTGATCAAAGGTAGCAATTAATCTGGCCTATTAAATAAGGGGAAATAATACGTTGAAGCTATGATAAAAATACAAATACCAAGACAAGTCAAGCAGTACAATCAATGATTACTTCTGTTCCCCAAATGAAAAAAAAGGTTAGTTCTGAGAAAAGCTTTTGTATCATTTGTTTACAGATGCCATGTGGTTTGATGTCTAAAGTAATGCCTATTTGGTCCATTTTAAAATGAAATTTCTAAAATGAGGCGCAAGACCATATGCATGCCAACATGATTTGGTGAGCAGAAAATACAAAACAAAAAATTTATAAGAATTTAAAACAATATAACTTTTTGGCAAATATAGGTTAATTGATGTTTTTTTTTCATATAATTTGAAAAAAATATAATATATATATTCATATAGTTTGGGCATTTTCATATAATTTGCTTATGGCAAACTGATGGTAAGCTTTAGAGGTAGGTCAGCCGATTCGAATGTTATCACTCACTCAATTAAATGGGCATTATCAATGGTTATCAGATGCTAGGTATGGGTCACTACTAGGGGCCTTCTGCTCCTACTATTAGGCTCAGAAGGCTGTTATCATCCATCCACATGGTTAAGCAGCTTTAGATCACATATGGCTGTGACCAGAAGTTAACAGAAATTATTTATATTATTTATAAAATTTTCCTTTAATTGGATTTTTTTATATTCAAAATGAATGAATGAATGTATTTTATTAGTCTCACTACCCCAACACTACAACCAACCGTCACAGTAATGTAAAAACAGATCTGGATCTGGAGTATTTGCTATTATTATATTTGATTAATCATTTAGATAGATGATAACAGCCTTCTGAGCCTACCCTACTAGCCCATATCTATCAGCTGATAACGTCTGATACGCTCATTCAATCGAGTGATAACATTCGAAGTCGGTGCGCTGGTATTTACAAATTTTTTTCCTCAAAATTGTACACTCTTAAATGGTCTGTAAAATACATTTTAATGTACTGTTTTTAATCACTGATTAAAGTGATTAGTTGACCCAAAATGTGAGTAATCAGTTGTTTTAAAGCGATTATCTGACTTCACTTTAAAAAAGTGAGTAAACCTGTTGCCTTAAAAAGTATTTAGTAAATGAATATTGTGCATATTTAAAAAAATCAAGTCAACTTAAAAACTGGTTAACTCTCTTTTCAAGACAAGTCAACTTGTCGCTTTAAAGGTAGCAGGTTTACTCACTTTGGCTCAAGTATAGTAACCAGTTGCTTTTTAGAACATTGGCATATTTTCAATTAAAATATGTTGAATTATATTATATTATATTTTTAATTCATTCATTTTCTTGTCGGCTTAGTCCCTTTTTAAATCCGGGGTCGCCACAGCGGAATGAACCACCAATTTATCCAGCAAGTTTTTACGCAGCGGATGCCCTTCCAGCTGCAACCCATCTCTGGGAAATATCCACACACACATTCACACACACACACTCATACACTACAAACAATTTAGCCTACCCAATTCACCTGTACCGCATGTCTGTGGGGGAAACTGGAACACCCGGAGGAAACCCATGCAAACGCAGGGAGAACATGCAAACTCCACACAGACATGCCAACTGAGCCAAGGCTCAAACCAGCGACCCAGCGACCTTCTTGCTGTGAAGCGACAGCACTACCTACTGTATTATATTATATTATATTATATTATATTATATTATATTATATTATATTATATTATATTATATTATATTATTTTATATTATATTATATTATTTTGTATTATATTATATTGTATTATATTATATTATATTATATTGTATTGTATTATATTATATTATATTATATTATATTGTATTGTATTATATTATATTATATTATATTATATTATATTATATTATATTATATTATATTATATTATATTATATTATATTATATTATATTATATTATGTTGTATTGTATTATATTATATTTTATTGTATTATATTTTATTGTATTGTATTATATTATATTATATTATATTATATTATGTTGTATTGTATTATATTATATTTTATTGTATTATATTTTATTATATTTTATTGTATTGTATTATATTATATTATATTATATTATATTTTATTGTATTGTGTTGTATTATATTATATTATATTATATTATATTATATTATATTATATTGTATTGTATTATATTATATTATATTATATTATATTATATTATATTGTATTGTATTGTATTATATTATATTATATTATATTATATTATATTATATTATGTTGTATTGTATTATATTATATTTTATTGTATTGTATTATATTATATTACATTACATTATATTATGTTGTATTGTATTATATTATATTTTATTGTATTATATTTTATTATATTTTATTGTATTGTATTATATTATATTATATTATATTATATTTTATTGTATTGTGTTGTATTATATTATATTATATTATATTATATTATATTATATTATATTGTATTGTATTATATTATATTATATTATATTATATTATATTATATTGTATTGTATTGTATTATATTATATTATATTATATTATATTATATTATATTATATTATATTGTATTGTATNGTATTGTATTATATTATATTATATTATATTATATTATATTATATTATATTATATTATATTATATTATATTATATTATAATTTATATATATAATATTATATATTGAATAGTGTTGTGCTCTAAATTTAAAGTAGATTTAAATTCTGTCTAGACTTTACTAATTTTTGTATAATTTTTTAAATTTCATATTTATAAAAGTCATACGACCAAATTAAATTGACAAAATAAAGTCAAACAAGTTTTTAAAGACTTTATAGCCAAATTAAATTTTAAGTAACAACTACCATAAAAATGACAGTTTCAGAATAGTTTCAGCCGCTTCGGTTGTATTGTTACAAATCAAAGTTAGGTGAAATATGAACAAACCCATGTGAACAAGTGTTTTTTTAACACTAAAGTAACTGCATTCATTTCATCAATATTTAGCATCACTTAAAGATTATAAAAGCCTCATCTTCTTTTTTTAACTATTATTATTTATACACTGGGTCATTTAAACCTAAATTTTGATTTCAGTTTGCTTTAAAATTTAGTTAAAAGATAATATATTTAATATTTCACCTAATTAAAAATATTTTACATAAATGTGGGTTGAAATAGCATTTTTTATAGCGTATGCAGACATTAATTGTGTTAATTAAAAAAAAATCCCACTTGTTCCTATTGAGCTTAAAACAGGACGGATTAAACGGATAAAATTTCAGGTTTATTCATTCTAGCTGTAAACAAAGCTTATTTTATATATGAAACGGATGTATTAGTATCAATACCAGTTATTTTGAAAGAGGATATTTGAGCAAGACGATGGTAAAATTGTCAGGTGAGAAACCCACACACCAAACTCACCACGTTTGTGTGACAGAAGTCAAAAAAGTGGCACTATGAAAAGATTCAAAGCAACCCATTTCTGCTTTTCAGAACAAGTTCCTCATTTATTTGAAATCTACTTTAAAACATACTGAAAATAAATCATGCAAATCTGAGAGATAAAAGTATTTGCAATCATTTCAAGACTTCCTCTTTTTTAAAAAGCTTTAAATGTTGATTGTAATTTTTTTTTCCGTGTTAGAAAGCAACGCTCTCACCTTATTCTGTTTCTCCTAGATGAAGGTAAAACACTGAGACATCAGTCAAGAGACCATGTACTAAATTCATTATAACATCTGTCTGGATATATATGTACTGTTAATGATTTTAGTAAATTAAACAGTATTTACTGTAAATATAATATGATCTGTATTTTACTATAGGGCAGCTATACTGAATGTTACTGTATTTGGAAAATATGTGTTACTGTTTTATGAAATTAACTATACATTTTACAGTAAAGAAATACAATACTGTAAATTGAGTATGATAAATGGTGCTGTAAATGTTAATACAGTTTTCTTGCTGATTTACAGTAAGTTACTGGTAAACTGCCTGTAAGTTACTGTGGATTCTACAGGAAATTCTTAACAGTGTGTGTACACTATTAAGGTGGTTTCAACATGCGTAAAAATTATACTGAAAGGCCATATAATAGGTGGTTGGTAAAATATTAAATACATTATGCCTATAGAGAGTTCTCATAAACCACATTTACAAGTGTGTGTGTGCCTGATCATACCTGGAAATCAAGATTGGAAACAAGGTCTTTCAGGAGCTCAAAAATCTGAGTGCAGTCCAGACACATGTCACCTGTCTGAAGCATAAAACATATTAACAGTTTTACAGTTCACAGCACAAGACCTACAGTTCACTGCCATATATGATTTAAGTTTAACCTTATCAGATACTTCATCTTAAGGGTGCAGAAATGGAGAAGTGAGACTTAAGCGGTCTCCTAAATGCTTGTGGATGGTGTATTTCAGGTGATGTGTGAAGGAGTTTAAGGATATGAAAACGACAACTTCTATTTTCTCTTATCAGTTCCAGGCATCTGTATTATAAATTAACATAAACATTGCACGAAACATTTAACAAAATTATTTTATTGACTTTTTAGCAGTTTGAAATGATTTAGTTTGTTTGTGTGAACTTAGACACAAAAGCAAGTGTATTTTCAGTGATAATATAGACTTATTTCTATATAGTTGAAGGCAAATTTATTAGCTCTCTGGTGAAATTTTAATTCTGTTTCAAATATGAGCAGAGAAAGATATTTCATTTCTTTCTTTCTGGCTTAGTCCCTTTATTCATCAGGGGTTGCCACAGCAGAATGAACCGCCAATTTATCCACCATGTGTTTTATGCAGCAGATGCCCTTCCAGCCACAACCCAGCACTGGAAAACACCAAAGCAAGGTATTATCTATACCAGTATATTTATTTTTTTTCTTTTGGAGAAAGTCTTTTCTCCTTTGATTTGACTTAAATAAAGGCAGTTTAATTTTTTTTTTTTATAATATTACCTGTTTGTTCAATTTTTCAAACTACTAAAGATGTCAATAAAAATTGGCTAAACACAAAAAAATGCTGGGTTTCACACAATTCATTCCTGTTGTCCCAACACAATTGATTAAATTAACTCAACACAATAAAGTGGATTAAACATTAAAAAATTAAATTGTGCCCTCCAAAAAAAACTCAAGACTATTTTAAATAAGTAGTTGAAGCAGCAAAAATAATTTTTTTAAGTGAACTGTAGCTTTCAAATGTTACCATCAGAAGTTGATGTAGCAGAAATCAAGGTGCCACAATGCAATCCAAACAAACACTGTCTGAATCACTTATAAAAGTTCAGCCAGTGGTGAAATGCAGACAGCCAGGCTTGAGTCACCTTTTGTTTAATTTATGTATGCACTAAAAACATAACAAAAACAAAATGCCAAGCATATAGCATTCCTCAACTCACCACAGTGTCATCTACACCCTTCAGGACATTCTTCAAGCCTGCCGCATCAACAGACCTTGTTTGGACTGTCATAAAAAATAAAAACACTTTTTCAGAAGCCTACAATGGACTTTCATTCCAGATGTTTTCCTTCTACAAAATATGTTTACAAAGAAAAGTAAAATATATCAAACACCAATTACGGGCAACCCAAACTTCCAACGTCATTCAGTGTCAGAGATAGACGTCAAATGGAAACAATATATGTATTCTGACCTGGAATTATTAAAATAGATATAAATCTTTCAGAAATGTTATGATTATGATAATGTATTACTATAATAATGTAATCATTCAGATTTAAATGCTTTCTTTTTTTCTTGATCTACTATTAAATTAGGTTAATCAAAATCAATCAAACTTCAGTTTATAACAATAAAATTCCTTACACTTTCCTTACACTACTATTTCCTTACACTACTACTTCATCCATATTTGTAATTCAGTACCACCAAACAATCATTCTAGTTAAAAAAAACTCCACTATAAATGAGTGTGCAGATTTACACAGAATACATCGATATCATCCTAACATTTGATTTACCTGAACCCAGAAAACCCAGCAGGGCGGTGAGGAAGAGCAGCTCTAGTTTGAAGGCGGTCATGTTTTCAGTTGCTTCAAGTAAAAGAACTAATGTAAAAATCGCACTATTGGCCCTGTATATAGTGACAGGACGGTTCAGCTCAAAGAGGAACTACCCTTTATATCTGACGCCCTGAGAGCTCCAGCCAGATGCGATAACACAGACGCTTCACTGTGCCCATGAGAAGGCAAATAATGTTGCTTAATCACATTATTTGACATATAAAGGCAGGTAAAACCAATATTTGTAATTTTCAAGACCATTCATTGTAAAACACCTGCTGAATGGGGAACATTTTTTCATTTCTTAAACTGACGGAAGGACCTGAAACATATCTAAAGACCTGGAAATGTGATCATTTGACTAAACACCCAAAATACCTATGCAAATACATAGCAACACACTAAACACTGTTCAGAAACTATGGAAATGACCTGGCAACTACACACATATTTTGTGCACACACATACAAACACACACGCACACACACACACACACGCACACACACGCACACACACTTACACTAGTACAGCTATGTTTATGAGGACTTCCCATAGATGAACCAATTTTTATGCTTTACATATTATATATTCTAACCCTCTGCTAAAATCAACTTAGAGCATTTGAACCCATTGGGGCCCGACTTTTTTATGCCCCAGCTAGCACGCATATTAGGCTTCTAGCCTGCTTTGTAAAAAAACTTCTAAAAAAGTTTAATGAGATCGAATGCATGCGGTCCAAAAGTGATGCCTTGCACATAGAGATTTACAGCCACATGCAATGGAGAACATAAAGAGAAATATTGCCTGTGGTGAACTTAAAACCGTGAAATATGCAAGAGGAAAGGCAAACTTCTGGTCAACCTTTCAAATAGTGACAACTTTAATGGATGGGCCAACTGGTTGAGTACTGGCCAACTGAGCCACATACCGACATCGTCACCTTAAAGGGCACCTATGATAAAAAAATCTACTTTTCAAGCTGTTTGGATAGACGTGTGTGAGTATAGTGTATAGACCATCATATTGGGGTGATGTAAACACACCCAGTCCTTTATTTTCAATTTAACAACATAAAAACGGTGGACCAATTGGAGCGGTTTTCAGAGTGACCGAAACTTAATGTAGGAGTACGGTGCCCCCGCCCAGCAATGTTGATTGACAGGCGCGTCATCATATCCTCAGTTTGTTGATTCACGTCCGCCAATTTCAGCGAGAGTCAAAGCGAAATCGCTAAAGGAACACCCTTGCTCTATTTTTAGATGTAAGGCTTAATGGGCTCAACACAAGATCAATATTATCCACATTATCACTCTAATCAGAATTATTGGTTGTATCTTTAGGTAGGTTTGCAAACAAGTGTACTTTCATTGCGTCTACCTTAAACTTCAGCTGTTTGCATTTCTCGAGGTCACAGAAGCTCCCTGTGGTCTTAACTAGATGTAGCTGGAAAAGTGCAAGCGTGTTGCTTCATGTGTGTGTCTCTCCATTGTAAATAATATAATGAACTTGGCTGCTGGTAGCACACCAGAAGCGCTGACGCAGCGCCATGCATTTTGGAGTTCTGGGCGTGGGTTTCTGTCAGGGTACACACAATGGCGCTTCAAGCCGGCGGCTGGGTGCCGCGGACAGCCGCCGTTGTGTTTACCCTGATGGAGGCCTGTTTTTGGAGTTTTAGAATGCAGGGCGCGACGATTCGGGACACTTCATGTTCCGAGAGTGTCTGGTGTGCCGTATCGCTGCGCATCCGGTGCCTCAGTCAAAGTTAATTCAGTGTGCATGGTTATTAGTCTTGGTGTACAAGCTCGGCAATTTAAACTAGCACACAGTTGTCTGTAAACCTACAGAAAGACACAGATGATTTTGTACTCTCTGCTTGGACTGTGTCCGAGTCGTACATGTATGGCTGAATTCTGATCCGCTCTGTGTTGCAAACACAGAGCGGATGACCTCTTGGCTCCGCCCCTTGTTATGTTGGGCGGGAAGCCGAAACTAACTTTCATGTGAAGCAACACGCCCCTAAAACAGCAAACTATGTAAACTCCCACAACATGACACTTTTGAACACATTATAACAAAAACATCTGAACTGTGTTTTGAACTGAACCTAAACTGGCACACTCAGAAGAACCATAATACTAATATTAAATCATAAAAAAGGGGTAAACTCTGCCCTTTTAAAAACGAAAACTTACATTTAAAAAAACAAACAAAAAAATCTCCAAAAATTTCTTTAAATTATTCAGATAAAAAAGAAACGAAAAAAACATCTAATTTCTATTAAATTCAAATCAGGTCTTTATTAATGGCTATAACTGTACAAGCTGTTTGGCGAAAAAAAGAAGGGCTTCGAGTCGGACTTTTTGCCAAATTTTTGCCAAGTTGTAAGGACAAGGGCAGGGCTAAAGTTTGTGCGTCTCAGGCCAAAGCTGGACTAGGGCTTAGATTTAAATCACGGACAGGGCTCTAAAATCAACCCTCATGCAATTTAACATTTTCAAAATCCTTAATTTTTTGTGATTTTTGTGCCGTTTCCCCATTGGGATAATTTCAGAGCTTATATTTTATTTATCTGTTGCTATACTTTTGGGAACATTTGGTCTCCATATGGTAAGGAGTAGGTGTGCAAACACATGCATACATGACACACTACTTTGTTTTTTTTTTCTAGGAAAACAAAACTTCAAACTAATCAACTCCAGGGTCATACCATGTCAACCACATACGTCACTATGCAAATAAAGTGTATCAGATATTTTTATTGACAACTTCCTCAGACATTTCCTTATTGAACTCTTATTCCTTATTGAATGCCCAGCTAAAATGTTAATCTTGGTTCGAAAATGGGAAGAAGCATTTTATAGGCCTGACACAATTATCATTATATCGAGTTATCGTGCAACACTTGAACACCACCTCAATCATTTTTGGTGTTTCAATATATATATATACAAATTCACAAATAAAAGTAAAGCCATTTTACAAAGACATTTACATCATGATCATGACAGGCCATTTTACAAAGTGTTTTAGAATGCCAAAATTGCACTGAACTCCTGAAAGTTCCCATGCATGCCTGTAACTTTTTTAAACAGTAAAGAATTACTGTTTTCTCAATATCCTTTTTAATCTGGTGTTATTAATAAACCTTTTTGTATGGTTTAATATTTTTCTAATGTTAGAAGAGGTAATACATTTTCAAATGTCAGTCATGCACAGTATGATATATAGTGAAGTTCTTCACTTTGTTAAAACAATTAAAACAATTGCTTCCATCAGTTCTTCACTTTGTTAAAACAATTGATGCAATTGCAATCGCCATTGAACACTGAGATGCATATATATATATATATATTTAAAGTTTATAAACCAGAATCTAAAAGTCCCTAAAAGCACCACTAATGGTTTATACTGTCATTTTATAACTTTATATATATATATATATATATATATATATATATATATATATATATATATATATATATATATATATATATATATATATATATATATATATATATATATATATATATATATATTATATATTA